AAACGATTAATCGTGCAGTCCCATATGCAAATCCTGTACATTCTTGCAAACAGACAAGCATTGGAAGAAAAAGCTACATGCAGTTGAAACTCCATCATCAATGGTTTCTCTGCATCTGCAATGGTATACATCTAGTGTCTTCAGTCAATTTCATCTTACTTCTAAAGACGTTATAGTTATAATCACTATTATGTGGAATACAAATTTGACATTTTCTCAGCTCTGACCAACAGTTCTGTTGTTTATGATAACATTTTGGCAACAAGTATAAAACAGGTCCAACTGAGCAACAAAATGAGCAATCAGAGTATCAGACAGGTTAAAAATGAGCTAAAAGCTTGATTTCAGGTAAAACAACTGCATTAAAACTACGTCAGTTACCATTTACCTTTGTTTTCTCTTACAAAGGGTTACAAAAGGTACAAAGGGTCAAACAAAGGCTTGTTTGACTGACCAAAGGGTTTCTATAGTCTGTCCCCCTTTTCCCCAAAGAATTTCCAGTTACTATCAGTTACTGGTGTCTAAAATGTAATCACAACACATAGAGCCGAAGGTAAAGGCAAGAAAATAAAACCCAAATGGTACTAAACCACAGGTTTACTTTCAGAGTTAACACTAGGATTTTTGTGTCCCTCTTAGTTTTGATGCAAATAGACTTAAAAGAGTATCAATCTGTAATATTGAAGGTCTGTATAAAAACAATTTGAGCAAAGGGCTTTGCATAAGAAAGGCATGATTACATTTTGCTTCTTTATGTTACTGGGCAGTGGGCAGCATGGTGGCACAGTGGTTAGCACCGTTGCCTCACAGCGAGAAGGTTCTGGGTTCCGACCTGGGACCTTTCTGTGTGGAGTTTGCATGTTCTCCCTGTGCTTGCGTGGGTTCTCTCCGGGTACTCTGGCTTCCTCCCATAGTCCAAAGACATGCAGCTTAGGTTGATTGGTGTCTCTAAATTGCCCATAGGAGTGTGTGTGTGTGGGGGGGTTGTTTGTCTATGTGTTAGCCCTGCCATGGATTGGCGACCTGTCCAGGGTACACCCTGGACAGGGTTACCCCACCCCCCCACCCGTGACCCCGTTCAGGGACTAAGCGGTACAAAATGAATGAATGAATGAATGAATGAATGATTACTGCTTACTTAAGGCAGCAGCTTCTTGTTCTCTGCATCATGGGTACAGTTATGGGCAATTAGTGCTCACATGCAGTCGCCTTGGCAACATACAAAGGCTGGTGGTACAGCATGTGGCCTGTGATTGTCAGGGCTAAACAGTTATGAAGATATTGTTCTTTATGAGTTATCTGCCATTATTATGCAGAAGTCAGTTTTTCTACAGCGCTATTTAATTATTTATATGGTTTGTTCTGTCAGTTTGGTGGATGTCCATGCTGAGGTCCAGGGATTATCCTGTGTCCCTAGGCAAGTTATTAACTCTCAATCTTTTCCATGCGGCTATAAATAAAACATTCATATGAAGTGTGTATATGTGGAAAGGCCTTTGTGCAGCTGAGAGGAAATAAAAGCACTGACAGGGTAGGCTGGTTAGATTACCTCCCTGCCAGGCACTGTTTACCAAAACGCAGCAACAGTGGCACAGTCCAGGTTAGCAGCAAGCCCACACACTCGCCCGATGGATGGACTCATCCTTGTGTCTTTCCTCTTCCTTGTCTGCCAAGACCTGATTTATCCCCCTTGCTTCTGTCAGACTGCCTTTATCTCTTCTTTTGTCCACCTCCCCCTCATTCCACCTACTGTACGTGTAAAAACTCAGGGACTCAAAGGATAGATGTAAAAGTAAAACTTAAAGTAAGATATCTTTTCAACATCCAAACTACTGGCAGAGCTGTTCTGTACTGGCATTGCATTTGCTTGGTACGGTCTTAAAAAGACCCATGCAACGACAAATCACTTTCTAAAATGAATCTACCATGAACATGTGGTGTCATTTATTAGTGAAACTGAACCTCAGCACTTCATCCAAAAATAATAGTGCAGTCAGTTTCAAGTGCAAGACTGTTCTTCATTTAAATACCTCCTCTCAATATTACCCATTTGGCCAAAAAAAGAGAAAAACCTCCAAAGGATAAAATGATATTTGTAAAATGGTGATAAGCATAAACTAAAAACTGAAAATGAGGATCAGCAACGGGTTCATGCCAAAAAGCAAGCCAAACAATGTGGCACTTTAGCAGCAATAGAAACATTAATATTACACAACACTTGCATGAAAATGCTTATCAACATCATTATTATTACATACAATATTGATTCCACTTCACAGGAGAGCACAGTGCCTTTAGCTCAGAAAATGTTCAGGTCAGAACATTTGCCTTCATTGCAGAATGTCATTTGAGAACACTGGTTGCTTTTGGTGCTTGTTTTGGCTTGTGGCTCTCTGTGTTTCTCTTTCTTTGCTTCTCCCCCCTCTCTCTCATACACTCACATACACATGCACAGTGGTAGATGTGTCCCACTGGGGACTGGAGTGAGTCTGGTTGGGCTTTTGCTCCTCGTATTTCCACATCAAAGATGTGTCATACTGACGGAGCCTGACGCTCACTATCCTGCAGCAACACAACCAGTATGGTAGAGCCTTCATCAAACACACATATAGAATGAACAGGCAAAGACACAGACACATACAGTAGATTAATACACATGAACACAGTTACACAACTATTCAACCATGTCTCTCTGGCAGGTTGTCTGTTACTCTTTTCTTTCCCTTAGATTCTCAGTCATTGCAGCTTTAGTTTCTCCTCCTCCAAAGAAAAATATTTTTTGTTTTGTTCTCCTTTCTTCCTGTCTACCATTGTCTCATTCCCTTTATGTTTCTTGCTACACTTCCCCTTGTTATTCTGTCCATTAAATCCACTCAAACAAGAACTCCCTTTTCTCTTCTTCTCAAAGTAAACTTTCATATGCATGCTGTCTGAGCTGTGTCTGGTCTTCACATCAATTGGGCATGAAGCAGAGCAGGGAGCAGAGGCAATGGGTCTCAAGGTAAAGCATCATGCAGCCTTTGGTTGCCCTGACCCGGTTTGTAAGTCTCTGCTCTCCTCTTCGAACTGTCCTCAGAGGAGGTCTACCGCCTGCACTTCCTGTGCACTGAACCTCACCAACGCAGACCAAGACAACTGCTCCAAGGCTGGAAAACTCCACAAACTCCCTTCCACAAATGTGGATGCTACCAAAGTTATCTGTAAAGTGCCTACTGGATTTTGTGCTCATATAGAACACTCAATTCTGCAAATACATAAATGAGCATTTTATAGCTCTTTCTGGAATTTCTGTATAGATTTTAAATGACTGTTTTTAAAGATCAATTCAATAACTGAAGAAGACACAACTGG